ATTTGTCCCTAAAACTGCCCCACATCTTTTGGCGCTTTTTGCCGTTTTCCAATCATTGGCCAAACAAAATTTAAGTAAAACCAAACCCCCCCCCCCCCCCCCCCGCCATACCAAAAAGAAAAACCATAAAAAAACCTTAACCAAAACCGGATAACAACCTCCCTCATATATATAGATATATATGCCCTTCCTCCCTCTCACACCCAGATTATCTACTACTACTATCCTTTTCCAGGAAGAGGACCAGGAACGGCCTCGGCAGCAACGACACTACTGCTCCCGCTCCACCAGGAACTGTGGCTAGTAGTGGTCCCGAACTTATATTTCCTCGTGCTTCTTCTTCTTCTCCTTTGCTGTCTAGCCTTTTGCCTCCTTATCCTCATTGACTCTCCGTACCTGCAGAGGAAATAAAAACACCCCGCCAGAAAGGCGGCCAGGAGCAGGCCGACCACCACGCCGATTATTGTGTTTTCCTGGTGGGGCGTCGTGATTCTTTTCAAGAGGAGGTAATATGGTCTTGTTTTGGGGTGTAGGTCATGTTGTGAGGGTCCTGCTGCTGCTGGTGGTGGTACTGAGAGACTGCCGATGGGGCTAAGTCGTGTTATGTACATTGTGGGTAGTTTCGCTGTGCTGTGTGTGTGTGTGTGTGGTGCAGGGGTGGGTGGGTTGTAGGTGAGGGGTAACCTTTTTTTAAAGACAGGAAAGCAAAAGTTGAGTTTTTTCACTTTGTGATTTTTATTCAAGGTACCCAATTGAGAAGAAATATGGAATAATTATGAGGAGGAACTGGAGAATCACAACAACAGGGGGATGATGAAGGAATTAAAAAAAAAAATGGGGGGAAGGGGCGGAGCTACATGAGAATATTTTTATTTTTCTCACTTCTTTTTCACAGTAAGAAGAGACGGGAAGAGACGATATCTTTCGCATATGTGAGTGGCTGCGTCCTCTGATTTGGCCGATAATAAAATGGGTTAAGAAAAAAAGCAGGGCTGCATTTGTTGCATTTTGAGGGTGGGCGGATGGTAACGCTCGGCGGCAAAGTGGGATTCTCTTTTTTCCCGGAGTCGCTCTCTCACTTACTTTCCCGTTGAAGACAACCCGAATAGAGGAGAGAGAAGGATGGCTTGGGAAGGTGGTCACGTCCCGCCCTAGCGCGCACAAAAAGTTCGCATGACAGCCTGCATCAAAGTCTGCACTTTGCATATGTATTATGCACAACGTGCATCAAATCAACCGGCCTCAACGTATCAGAGTCGATGTGAAAATGCATGATAAACCAATGGAATTTATCCTTCTTGTTCCCCTTTATATGTGGGGGTTGAGCTGGAGAATATATTCCGGCCTTGAGCTGCCTTGTGTATCTGCACGTTCTAAAACTTCCATTCGACAAATTCGTTCAAAAACAAGTCAGGTGAATATGATCCCGTGAAACACGGTCCCGGTCATCGGGTACAAGTTCCGTAGTTCAAAAGTTCGCCACCTTTTGCTCTCACTTCTTCAGACACACAACCGTCCCGATCTGCAGAGGATAACACACCAACCCCGGATTAATCCCCAGAAACCCATCCAGCGTCAACCCATTCTCGGTAGCAATAAGCCAGCAGTAATCCCCAGCCTTGGCCGTGTAACTCTTCTGACATCCCCCTGTACCAATCGAGCTCGTGCGCGCTGGTACAACACTGGTAGACAGTGTAGGAGGGGGCGTCGTCGTCGTCGTCGTCGTCGTCGACTTGCCCGCGCAACTTCCCTTAACCTCCCTCCCCGTATCCCACCTCCTAACCCACTCATCATACTTGCCCCTCTGCACGACACCCCCATCCAACTCTGCCCCGAAGATGCCTTGCTCTTCATGCTGTCTCATCATGGCGTTATCTGCGCATTCTAGCGTCGTTCCAGAACTTGAAGTCAAGGGAGAAGCAGCGTGCGCCCATCCCAGCACCAGGAACCCTTCACTTGTAGGTGCCGCCCCTGCCGTCCCTTCATTCCCTTCTTGTACCCATTTCAGACAGTTGCGGCATCTAAAGAGCAGCTCAAAGGCCGTGGAATTGACGCGCGAGGAAATCTTGGTGAGACGGGCGTCGCCGCTGTAGAGGGTGGGTAGCGTGTAGTCGCTTGCCCAGCGGAACGAAGTCAAGACTTCGGACGGGGAAGAAGGGGACGGGGATGGGTAAGCCAAGATGAGGAGGGAGTCGACCATGCCTCCGCCGAGGGAGAGACCGCACCAGGATGGTTTTTTGCATGACTTTTTGACGCGACACAAAGCAAGTCAGTAGTGAGAGGGTATCAAGAGAGGGAAGGGAAGCGACAAACGTACGAGATATCCGATAAACTCGGTCGCGTCAACCGTTAGGGCATCCGGCGGTAACGCAATTCCGAATGTCAAGTCCGGAGAGGGATTCCAGGACTGGAAGACGATGCCGGTCGAAGGGTCGGTGATGGTTTGTGTGCCTTCGAGTTCTTGGGAGGAGACGACAGACGTAAAGACTCGGACCTGGGTCAGTGAATGATGATCATTGATGTCTACGGGAAGAAGGGCCCAGGAAACACTTACGCGCTGCGAAGGCGAGGAGGTGACCACCGGTCTTGAGGAACCTCATTGTTGTGGTGATATTGTGAGTCCAATAATTGATTCCCTTCAACTTTTTTTTAGCAGGTCCGTCCCAATGGAAGGAAAAGTAGGTACCTGAAGGTTTCCTCTCACCGAAAGCTCACCCGCCAGATATATTTATTTACATCCCCTTCACCTCATGCGGGGTCTGTCTCCCTTCCTTGCCGTCCCCCCATGACATCAGGGGGGATGCCAGTAAAAACCCCAATACTCCATCAATATACGTCTTCTCCAGTGCGGGGCCTGATCCCTTCAGCACAGGTCCTTCTCTTAGATCAGCTTCAATAAATGAAGCTGACAGGTCCGGGGTTAACATCTCCGCAAAATAAAAGGCACCAAATTGACCATCACAGTTCCAATGCTTGGGTCGGCCGAGAAAAAGCGGAAGAGAAAGATACATTGGGAGGATGCTCAGTGGCCGGGTATATAAATGAAGTAGGACCCGGCAAGTAACAGTATTTACCTCCGTCATGCGGCATGAAAGGCCAACGACCCTCGCTTCCGGCCTTCCGCCAACTCAGGCCGTCTTAAATAGAGTCCTCCATCTCCACACGCCTCGAAATAGCACATAAGCTGAACAAAAAAAGCAACAATTCATCATTAAGCTAATAAGTAAACTCAAACACTTCATCGTGTCCGCCCTTCCCTCCACTAGAATTGCTAGAAATAGAACAATAAAAAAAAGCACAAATAGATATGTATTCTCTCTCTCTCTCTCACTCTCCCCTCCCCCTCTTATGCTTGCATGAATCATCCATCTCCGAAAAAAAGTGCGTCACCGAGACTTCTGGTTTTTAGTCTATGATGCTCCTGGTCTTCTCCATGAGACAGATGCCTCAACCGCCCCAAAATGTTCATGCAAATGCTGCCCATAAAAAAAAGAAATAGTAAACAAGATAACAGACAAAAAAGCAATCCTAACCATCCCCCCCCAAACAATTTGGGTATCGCGACGTTTCCATGGCTCGTCATCCATCCATCAAGATTAATCATGACATACCAACAACAGAGCCGTGTGCTCCCCAAACAGGAATTCTAGAATATCAAAATACAAAAAAAGAAAAAAGAAAGAAACCTCCCGAGCTATCCAACAAAACAGAATGTCCAAACAATGATACAGGCTGAGAAATAGGAAAGTAATAATAACAAGAACTTTTTGTCGACGAGTGATGAGGTGAGGTGTGAAGGATGTGACGAGGACGGAATGGCTTCGGCGAGTATGATGTTAGGGGAATATGGGGCTGGGGAAGACAGACCAGAAACGACAAAAAAGAGCAAATTGCCAACAAAAGCAAAACGGTCCTCGTCACCAGATTGGGGCGTGTGATGTGTGTAGTGTGTAGTGTGTAGTGTGTAGATGGGGTGCATGATGTGGTCTCCCCGGTCCAGTGGTAACATCATAGATCAACAATACATCTTGTATGATCCAACAGAGTCCAGTGAAGTGCGAGGCGTGGAGTTCGGCGTGGATCTGGGACTTGAGCTTGCGCTCGAACTCGCAGATCGTTTGCCTGACTTGAATTCATGTCTGAAAAGAATATCCCTGGAATAACAATCCTCGGTTAGTGGGCGCCGAAGACTTTAGATGGCCGAAGCGATTTGTAGCATAACTGACAAGGCCCCTCCTCGTTCGCCGGGGTTCCGCATAACCATCATTTGTTTGTCCTTTTTGCTGCTGGAATCCTTTCCTTTCTTCTGGGGTGACGAGTTGCGAGATTTGCTGGGCCGACGGGATACTGCCGCCAACTGCTCTACACGGTGCTGGAGCTCAATGACCTGTCCGCTAGC